TTCTAGCTGAAACAGAAGGCAATGTGTTAAGAAAGTTAATGGAGGCTGTGAATGTTCGAACTACTGCTCATAGACACCTCCAACTTTTGCCAAGCAGTTGAACATGACTGGTTCTTTGTTTCTTTCCTCCTTTCTTTTTCCGAACTTGACCTTTCTTGCCTCTGCTCTCCCAAACAGTGGCCATATTGAATCCAAGTGACATTTCCATTGCAGAGGTGAGTCTCATGCACAATACATTATTTAAAAAACCCCACTAAATCAGCTAATGCCGTAAAACTTCAATGACTGCAGTTCTGATGCCACTGATCAGGAAAAGAAAATCCCTGCCACAGACAGTCACACTGGCTGGGGATAGCTTGCTGAAGGATGCATAAGGAAGTAAGAGGGAAAGGGTTTTTCAAAGATGAAACGAATAAGCCAGAAAATTCAGCAAGTCAAGAGTTCAGCTGAAATTAATTTCCATTCCCTCAAAAAGAAAAAAAAAAAACATGTTTTTCCTTCCTGATACCTTCATGTGCCATTTCAGACTCTCATATTCCCCTACATAATTCTACAGACAATGAAAACACATGCACGGGTCATGCCAAGGCATCACTCTGTGAACTTATTTACAACTCAGCCCCACACTGACAGGATAGATCTCTTGCAGCTCTTTCGCTTTGGATGATACAGCTGAAAACTACAGTGTGGATGGGAATATACTGCAGTTTGTGTCAACGAGAGTGGCAATTACCATCATTGTTTTTGCTGTTCTGGAGATTGATGCAAAGCTTTGATTAATCATCTGCTTGGCTGTTTAGCAACAACATTCTCAATAACCCTTTAATTTAATAATCAATTTTTTAAATGAATACTTTAATTACATGTAGCTACTAACAATCAGTTGGTCTGAGTTTTAAAAAAGCAGATGAAAGAGTACTGGATATAAGAAGAGCCTTAGCAATTTATGTCACTAAATGGATTACTCCAAAACCAGCATGACACAGAATAGTCAGAGAGGGATTGAAGTCCCTGTGTTGAATTATAGCAAAGTCCTTAGAACACCAGAGAAAGGATCTGTAGACTATGGCATCAAACAAGATGCAAAACTCAGAAAGAAAATGATAGTACCAGTGTCCTTATTTTATTATATTACAGTAGCTTCTCAGATAGTGCTTGTGGCATCTTCAAACATCCTCTTGACTCTGTAAGCACACTCCTCGGATTTGAGCTGCATGGACACAAGGTTCCCGGCACTGTGGGCCCTAGCTGTTGGGGGAGATGCTAGTGCATGGCTCACAGGATCAGTAGGTGGATCAGCCCTAGAGCATCCTCCTTGGCAGTGAAAGGAAAGCAGCACCATCCTCCACCCTGGCCAGCTCACTCAGAGTCAAAGAAGAAATGCGTTCATGACAAACATGCAGCTGTGCCACAGCTGCCCCAGAAAAGCAACTCTGCAAGAGCACCTATTCTATGGCAGAACGACCTTAGCAACATTCAGCTGAGCAGCAAAAGCCCTCTGCTTGGTGCCAGCAGACCCCGCTGGCCAGCAGCAATGCCTAAGGACAATAGCGAGTCCTAGCACTCATCTCGATCCCTGCAGCGCAGCATCACAGACATGTGCCAGGCACATTTTCAAAACCCATGAACTTGGGGGCACTAATCCTAATCTCCTCCATAGGACTGGCTTTCTTCCTCAGGGTTGATTCCAATTCATCTACATTTCAGTAAAATACTGCTGATGTCAGTAGAGACCATCCTGATAAATGCCAGCATACACAGACACAGGAGCAAATCTTCCCTGCAATCACCCAGGGCATCTGAAACCAAGAGGCATCTTGGCAGGATACATGAATGGCCTGATTGTGTCCATTTTCAAGAAGGAATACATATGTATAGCGCTGCAATCCAGCTCAGCCTGTACAAGGTTCTGCTCTGCTTGATGAGCAATCAGACTTCTGAGAGAACAAACACATAATGACTGCTTTCAGCTGCTAATGCCACTGCTTTTTCTGGAACAATATAGAGGCTTGAACTGCAAATTCACATCCAGCCTTGCTGGAAATTAACTGGGAATCAAAGGGGTTTGCAATTAGCCTTTGGAAAAGTCTTCACTAATTCACAGCCACAAAAGGGGACACTGGAGCCTGCAATGACATTTCAGGGGGGTGTGGTGGTGTGCCTGTAATAGAAGGCTTTGTGTATTTATTTTAGGGAAAGAATCTCTCCTTTTTGGTTTTGGCCTATGAAAGAAATCAGGAACAGTGATATTCCAAACATACGGTGATACTTGCTTTCACAGCAAAATGCAATTCAGCTCCAGTTTCGCACTGTGTGCATTCAATTTCCATGAATGTTACTGGGATTAAAGATTTTTCATGGCTTTTTTTGTTGCTGTTTTCAGTGAAAACTGGCATTGATATTTGCACACTTGTGCTGTTCTTGAAGTTTTACAATATTTTATTCTGCTGAAACCCTGTCGTGGTTTAAACCCAGTCAGGCAACTCGTTCACCCACTCCCCCCCTTCTTTCCCTCCCCCTGCTCCCGGAGGGACGGAGAGGAGAATCGAAAAGAATGCAATTCCCATGCGTTGAGATAAGAACAGTTCAGTAACTAAGGTATAACACAAATCACTGCTGCTACCACCAATAATAACAATGATAAAGGAAATAACAAGGGAAGAGAATACAGCACCTCAGCACCAGCTGACCAATAAGTCCCCCCACCCCACCAGACCGAGCACTGACCAATACCTCCTCCAGCCCCTGCAGTCCTCCAGCCCTTCCGGGTAACTCAGTTGCATCCTGGGCATGCAGTGCTGTGGTATGGAATACCTTGTTGGTCAGTTTGGGTCAGGTGTCCTGCCTCTGCTTCCTCCCAGCTTCCCCTCCTCCCTGGCAGAGCATGAGGCTCACAAAGTCCTTGGCCAAACCAAAACATCGGTGTTATCAGTGCTGTTCCCAGGCCAAAAGTCAAAATCACAGCACTGCACCAGCTACCAAGAAGGAGAAAAATGACTGCTACTGCTGAACCCGGGACAAACCCCCAAACCTGCTTAAGGTTTATAAAATTCATCCCCCAAAATTGGATTCCAACATCTAGCTTGCTAGAATTTCTTAAAGGGATCTTTACTATTAAAATCATCAGTCAAATGAATTATTTTTTCACCCAATCTAACTACACTTCTGTCTGGTCCTCACACATCTGAGATTTGCCAAACCTCAGCTCTGGTCAAGCAAGAGTAAAATGTAACATCTTCCTACTTTTCCACCAAGCAAATAAATCAATATGAGGAGAAAAAGACCTAAACTGTCTAGTACTGCTAGGAATAGTATTATAATTTGTTGTTTATAAATACAAGCTGTAAATCACCATTCTTGGACAAAGGAAGGGAAATGTTTTGAGGCCATACTGCCTCTGGTCATCCAGGGGTTCAGCACCCACCATTCACTGCTCCTGCCTGAAGACTGCACTCCATGTCACAGCATGGCTCCTAATAACAACTGGGAATTATCTTCCTGATTCACCCAGTGCTTGAAAACCTCTGTGTCTGCTACTGATAATATCACTGGAGGGGCTCAGGGGAAAGGCACCAAAAAGAAAAGCCCTCTCATTCATGTTTCTACTAAGTATTTTGTATTGTTTGCTGACTCATTTTGCAGTTTAGCTTCTAGCAAACTCAAAATTAAGTTACTAGAGAATAATGACCATTAAGTGACTGAGATAGCTTTATTTCTCTGTGCCTTAGCAACAGTAATTTCACTTGCCTGTTGCCATAACAACTACAGCATGCACATCAAGGTCACTAAGCCCACTTTGCTTCTTGCCTGTAGCTATGTCTCTGATGGTTTATATGCCTCATTTTTATTGTAGATTCATACACAATGACTAGGAAGAAAAGGTACTTTTTCATCTTATGAGTAAACAAGCACATGAAGATGAGCAGTTCTCAAGGTAAGGGAAAACAGACAAAAGACAAAGAATTTATGAGAAATGTTCATTCTTAATGGGAAAACTATTGTGTATGTATGTGAGGTCCAAAATACCTAACATGCAATGAATCAAACTGGCAGTGAATTCTCCCTTATAAAAGTGAAGAAAGATTTCCTGAGCAGTATGTGGATATGAGTTCCTTGATTTCTAAGAGGACCTACCAGCCTGATCCCAGGACATTAGCACAGATACATCAAGGCGCCTTAAGTGCCACCTCAGATATTGAAGAATTCAGACCTTAGTGCTTAAATAAGTATAGTTTCAGTGGAAATACCTCATTTAGTGTTAAACTCAGAAGGTGCAGTGCACAGCCGTTCACTGAGGCATGCTGGTCTTAAATAAGCTGGAACTGGGAAGCAGGAGAAGACCACCAAGCTGGCTGGTTGATGAACTGCAAAGCCCCAGGTCAGGTGAGAAATAGCTTGCCATATCATTTTCCCTAGTTATTTCTTACACAGATTTTAATGGATGTAATTTTTACTCCAGAATATTCACACCTCACACATCATTTTCATTGTATAGAAGGGTTATGAAACTTTTTTAATGCAAGTGAACTGCATTCATTTGTCTCATAAGTCAACTAGAGGCACTTTCAAAGGAAATTCTAACCTCTTACATTACCAGAGCATTTTTTCTGCCATGTGAAAGGAGAGAAAATAATTATTCACTCTGAAAAATATAAATAACTTTACCCCTTCCTTTTATAGCTGGTTGATTACAGCACCCAGTGAATGAAGGCTTTAGCTGCTTATTTATCAGCTTTACACCAAAAACAACAGCAAAAAGGATGAAATGTCCAGAACTGATGGGGGATTTGTGAGTCACTAAATACTTCTGTGAATCAGGACTGATATATATGTGTGTAGTAGTTAGCTATAGGGCAAGATAGACAGACAAATACATGCATATGTATTGATAGACAGACAGATAGTCATACCAGAGCTGGACCACAAAACATCAAATTTCAGTTTTGGTTTATTATTTACACTAGGTCCAGCAAAGACTCTGGCCCAGCTCACCCAGAGCAGTAATTTCATTTTTCAGAAGAAAAGGAATTGCTACAGATTATAAAAGCCCACCAGGACAAGACAAAGACCATGTTCAGGGTCTCCCAAGTATGCAGTTGTGACACAGACATCCATTGTATTACCAAGTTCCTAGCTAAAGAGCAAGGGTTTTTTTCTGAGTTTACTCCAAAGAATGGCTGTGAAAGACCAGATTGCTTTTCTTGGTTGTTGTTCTACCCTGGCTGATATTCTCTATCAAGTTAGAAAGGTCTTGGTAATGACTACTGCCACGTGCGAGTTCAACACACACAAGGCAATGATTTACTGACTAGCTTAATCTAGGGCTTTCAGTAATAATCCCACTGCTTATGATGGGATCCATTGCCATCTTAAAAAGACTTGTGAAAGCTGTCATGCCTCAAGGTGATGCCTTAGGAGAAGGTGTGAGCTGCCTGCCAGGCACCCAGCCTGCTCCATAGAGAGCTGGGATGCTCTGCTCAGTATGGCAGGACCAGGCAGAGGGGTTGGACGTGGCAGGCAGGGTTGGGACAGCATGGGAAGTGGTGAGGAGCTGATGCCAGCCCCTTCCACAGGACTTGGTGGGAAGGACAGTGCGTCTGGGACCCAGAAGAATCTGCATGGAGCTGGCTGGAATCTCCAGGAAGACATTAGGCAAAGGATAACACAAGGGCAGTCTGTCCTGCTGAGGAGAGACTCAGGGTATCACTTAGTAGATCATTATCAGACTTAGGTATTTTGGACTCAGGGTATAAGACTGGGGATAAATTGGTTTCTGAGCCCTTTTATTCAATAATCAGATCAAAGTTTATCCTTTTCAAAAGTTCTTTTTCACTGTATGTTCTAGACACCCAGTGCTGAGCCTGTTTCATAATTCAAAGCCCCTTTGATGTCCTTAGTGTATTCAGTTCACAGGAAAGTCCCAGCACGTCCACCTCAGAGCCCTGCCTGACTCCAGGTCCCACCAGAGACAAAATAGTAAATAGCTAAAACAGAACCAAAGTCTCAGTGTAAACCTCCTTTGAAATCAAGGGAGCTTACCCAGTTTACGTTTGGTGAGAGGCAGCCCATAAAGCTCCAACTGATTACAGATATTAAGAGTGAGGTGTTTAATGCCTTTGCCAGAAAATAAGCTGAGATGTATTTTTGGGAGAGTAAACTGAAGTGTTGTGGATTCTATTGGTTTCCACAGGGTATCTCTTGTTGTTACTTTAATAACCAAAGAGGAAATCCTGTTAATCATAAGTTGCAGAGTTGTACGAGTTGACATCTGTGAAATCACAGCTGCTGATAGCTCTGCACAGGCACGATGAGGTAGCAGATAACGCATGTTGTGACTTTCAACAGGGAATTGAACTGGTTGCCTAATATTCATCACACCCCTTGCCCCCCAGAATGTCACACATCTTTCTTCTCCTAGCTATTATAACAAATGTATTGTTCCTTCAATCAGATGTTAACACACAATTAAGGACACACAAATGTCAAGCGTTGACCACCACTGCTTATGTTAGCAAAGGGTTAAACGGAAAGAAAATGAACCAATCAAGAAGGCAGACCAGGAAGAAAGTAAAACAAATAACTGAGTTAAATCCATCTCCGTTAGTGTGAACTTGGATAGCCTGATTTTTGCCATTTTAAAGAAAACCCAAAAGAGTTCCAGCAGCCTGAGCTTGCCCGCAACATCAATTGTTTAAAGAACACAGTTCATGTGCCAATGAAAATGCCAGTACAGCAAAATGAGTCTGGTTTTCAGACTCGTTTGTGGAATAAACTTCCTAAAATGGTGGCTATTAGGAGGCTTTTACATCCAAGTGCATATCCATTACCACACGTGAAAGAAAAAGTCACCCTGCAAACTGACTGAAGCCTGGCAAATATTTTAAACCCTTTATGATTTTAAATGACATGCAGTGATCTTCTGTTTTCACATCACTTATTGCCTCTGACACACACAATTTGTTAGCATGCTTTGGGTCACAAGTCAACAGAGCAACACTGAATTATAGCAGCCAGGAGGGTTCACCTCCTTCTCTCTTACCTGTCCTCTAAAGCCTTTAAACAGTGTATAGCGCCTATAGGTGTTATAGAAATAGAGGTGACTGCTGCTGCACGAAGATGCCGGCTAATGGACACAAACATGGCTCTATCCTTCTTCCTCCAAGCCCTGAAGGAAGCTGATGAAAAGTCCCATGGAAAATTAAAGGTCTTTGTTCAGCACAAAGAAATTCCTGGGCAGAAAGAGAAAAATCAAAATACTTGTGTCACACCAAATCTTGACCACTGTGGCCAATGTGTGAACCTTCCCGGGGGAAGGAAGAGAAAACAAACCACAAAAGCATAGCCCCAAAAGGCAGAGAGAGCTAATAAAACATCTGATTTTGGGGTACACTGCGGGGTCAGCAAATCACCCAAGGAGGGCTGGAAAACCCCACTGCGCTACACAGCGGCCAGTTTGGTGAGATGCCTCCTTAGGAAGGTCCCATGAGATGACTCTGTGCTGCCCAGATCAACGCAGAATCTCCAAAGAGGAAAAAGTTTCATTTTAATTAACTCAGATCCAACCTCACAGAAGTTATTGCAGTCCCAAACTTTATGTAATACTTCAAGATTAACAGTGAAATAAGAAGAGACTTGACCTGGAAAAAGTTCCAGCTCTGGCAAAGTTCATCTTTTTTTTTCCTCCTCATTTTTAGCAAATGTAGTGGTGACTGGATATTATAGGTACAGCTCTGCCCAGAAGCACTAGCTATTAGTCACGTCACCATGATTAGTCATTTAAGATACTGTTTTTTAAAGATCACAAATAGCTCCAGCTAGTTGCTACACCGAAGTCTTAAAGGGGGCCTTGGTGCAAGAGAATGGGCTCCAGCACTGCAGGGGACACAGGACAGAAGGCACAGTGAAATAACAGGGCAGAGTTGGTAGCTAAACAACCATTTTGGCTGCACACCCTAGTTCTCCTTTCTGTAGTTGGGAAGAAAAGACACCAGCTCCTTTTGCTAAGCGCTTCAAGTCCTAGGTAGCTAAAGGCACAATGTAGATAATATTGTTTTCACTCCTGACTGGCTGCTGCTGCAGACTTGTATCCCGGTGTCAAGCAGGGACCATGGAGCTCTGGGAGCATCACTGCAGGCCTAATGGTCCCTCATCTTCAGATCTGCTTTGTAGGAGTGCTATTTTCTGCATGGGGCAAAGGGCTGAGGAGCCCCACAGGGCTGGCAGTGGTAGCATCCATGAGCCACATGGATCTAGACCTTCCCTGGTACACTCTCCTCTGCATGCAGGAAAAAAGCAAAGTGGGTTCAGAAATTTTTGTGTCCCCTTCCCCCTTAAATTAAGCTTGTACAATTAATTGAAAGAGAGAATGAGTCTCTAAGACATTAATCTTATCAATTGTTTGAATAAGGTGGAAAGCAGTGACATCAGCAGCTAATGAAGTAAATCTAAATGTCTGAATATTATTATTTCACTTTTACAAAAGAGAGGCCATCTGGTGTTTGACAGCGAGACCAATCGAGTCTCCAGTTAATCTCTGAGAAGTGGCATACCTCCTCAGTTGTTCTGTATGCAGCCATTTCATCAGTCCTTACCACTGGTGTAGAAAACAGCACGTTGAATGAGCCGCTGCAGAAGTCTCCTTGTCATGAAGAACTCACTAGGTCAGCAACTGTCAAATACTTGAATTTCAGCGATCAGCTTCACTTGTACAACAGATTCAGTTGCAGTGCTTTGAGCAAAGGTTTACAAATTACCATATAATCTTGTAAACATGCTTCATCTACACCAGCCACCTTCTGACCAGTGAAGTGGAGACCAAGAAATACAATCCTTTCTGACCTCTATTAGATGCTGTCAGCCATCCAGGTGTGATGCAATGAGTGAAGCAGCTATTCATATTACTCCATGGCGATGAAAGGGAGTTCACATTCTGGAAGAGATGCTGAAAGCTTGACTGCACAAGCCTTCTCCCAGGCAGTCCTTTGCAGGAGCGGATGGTCTCTCGGTGTGTGGCATTGATCGGCTCAGTCTTACGCAGCACCTGACCTTATATAATCCAGCATGTGTCTGATGATATTTTTCAGTTCCCTCAGGTTCAAAACTGCCTTATCCCCATCCATCAGAGTTGTGTTTCTGTGCTAATCCCATTCTCCCGGCTGCCTGACCTGGGAAAGTGGAGAGGAAAAGGTGGGGAGGAAAAGGATAGTTTCTTAAAAAAGCCAAAACCCTTAAGTTTCCATGTTCTGGAACACAGGATCAAGTTCATCAGTTTTTTTCAGCCTATCACACATACAACTTGTATTTTTCCTTGCAAAACAAATTTAATTTTCTTAACTAAGTCACTTTTCAGGTGAGAGGAAAACCGACTGTTAAGTACAGCTTAAGAACAAGCCAAATACATGCCCACACACACATACTGTATTTAATTTCCCACTCTTTGCTCTGCCTCTGATCCTTTCCCACTACCAGCTGGGTCCTGATGTCTCTCGTGACCACCTTTCACTCTCTTCCACTAGTTTTTTTCCACTGGAATTCCTTTCCCTTCTGCCATCCTTCTCTCCCTGAGGATGTGAACTCAGTTACACCAGCATTGAATTTTCAGACCCATAATGTTCAAGCAGATTTAGAATTAATCAAAATAACTTCATCCATCAATAGCTTTCAAGGTCAGGAGCTCTGAGGGCAGGGGTGGGGGTGGAAGGCAGGGCCATGATGAATAAGCAGGCAACAATGAAAATGTTGTCAAAGAGCAATTAAGCGTGCTCCTGTGACAGGTTGGCACTGCACTTTTCCTAAGGTGAGAGAAGTCATCAGACATTTACAGTTCACCCAGCACCAGCAAGTGCCTTTCACATCCAGCCCGCATCCCCTTAGCAATCGGAGATGACCCAAACCTGCCTTGTGCCAAATGGTAATTTCATTTTAAATAACATTCATCACCTTTTATCACGGTGTTTCAATTTGCCAAGTCAAATGTCGTATTCTCTGCTGCTGGGCAGCCCTCTTTGCTGTGCCGGAAGCATAAATTAGACAGATGGAATTTGTTATTATATATTTGAGCCACAAATCATAAAAAAACCTTCTTTTTTATTAATATTAGTCTAAAATAATTTGTTCTTAGCCAAACCTTCATGAGGAATATGATAATAACACTATCTTTAAGAGTTCAATCAGGGCCAAGCCCCATTCTAGGCAGAAGAATCTGTTCTCCCCCCATATTCAAGGCTATTAAAGTTATGTCCATGTATACAGGATACAGCACTTTAATCTGGCAGGATATGGCTGCTCCAGTCCTACCTGGTATGAAAGTCAGGGGCTGAGTTTCTTCTAAGAAGAGATGAATTGAAAGAAAGCAGCTGAAAAGGCTGCTTGGCAAATAGCATGTATTTCCACTAAACCCTGAGCACACTGGGTAAGATTTCCATAAGGTGAAATGTATATGGCTGTAAGCCAGATATAAAACTGGAGAGAAAAAACAGCATAAAGAATTGAATACCTGAAGACTAACGACTGAGCTGATGCTCCCTGCATGGTTGAAAGGCCAAGTATGCTATTGACTGAGACAACAGAGTTTTTTGGACAATATGGGCAATCAAAGGGATGTGAAGGAGCTGGATATCCGGCATTATTCTGCATCCCTTCTTTTCCAAATGAGGGGAGTGAACCAGAAATTTAATAATAGAGAAATGCTCGTGCCTCCAGTGCTGGGAAAAATCCTTTTGTGTAAAAAAAGGGCTGTGGAAAAAACACACTGAGCCAAGGACTAACATCTGGTTTCTTAATGCAATGCCTACCTGTATCAGAACAGCTCCTGTTATTCCCCCGATTAGGCTACTCACACTATAGAGGAGAGACCGGCTGCAACCACACTACTCCTCACCAGCTTCTGAGTTTGCAATCAGAGAGCGGGATAGCAGCTGATCTTTCATGTCAAATAATGCAAGACAGATTAAGCAAAAGGCATTTTTTCCTCCATTGGTGGAAGGGGGATATCAAAGTCCAAGCTTGCTGAGCATTTGATTTGGTCCTTAGTCAGCCCAGGAGGTATCAACAGAGCACAGCTACACCCAATGCCCGCAGGTTATCAAAGAACATTTCTTATCAATGCCTTTCCAGAGCAGGAGGCAAGGGAATAATTTTGGTCTCACTTTATAGTGGCACAAGAGTTACTTGACTTCAGAAACAACCATCTCTGGCAGAGCTAGGTCTGGAAACCCCAGCTCCTGGGTCTTGCTTTAACAGCATAAACAAAGTGCTACCCTCAGGCTGAGCCCTAGCCTTGACCATCTGTCAATGCAGCAAAGCTAGAGACAGGACACCACATCTCACCTCCTCTCTTAATCTCTGCAGCAACTCTGTGAGTATCGATTAAGTCTGTGCCATTCACTCATATCTGATATGTCCTTCCAACAGCTCCTTATGAGAAATTTCAAACTGCTTTATTAAACCATCTCCTATACATTTACCTACTGGCAACCTAATAACGACGTTAAATTAAAAAGACATTACCTTTATCTGCAATTATCCCATTATAGAAGCAGGCGAGTGCTGCAGAGGCAGTAATCACATTTTTACAGCATAACTAGTTTGGATAAAAATTATAAGGTGACAGGTTTCCTCTCCATTGAGAGATGAAATAGATCCTTTCAGGGCTTTGGCCAGTTCATGACAGGAAGCGAAATGAAGATGTGAGAAGGCTGAAGTCAGTGCTTCCAGGTGACTTGCATTTTCCCTGCAAGAAGCTTCTCTTTTCCCTTATCACTGCAGCGTTGTCACCTGTAGAAGATTATTCAAAAGTGTTTTGTGGTTTTGTCTCTCAGCCAAGATCCATCTTTCTTCAGAACAAGCAGACAACCCCAGAAAATGAAAGGTCACCTGCTGGTCTCACCTCTTTGTGGAGGGGTTGTCCACCTCTTCTCTCCTCTCCAAATGGTAGCAATAAAAGAGCAGCTTTTATCCTGTAATACAAATGAGAAATGTACTCGTATCACATTTCTTGTGTCAAGCTGGTAGATCAAATTGGGAATGGGGAAGTCAAATGTAGGCGATGTAGACTGAAGAGCATTAGCTAGACAGATGAGTAAAGTGAGAAATCAAGTAAGAACTATCCAGTACATTCCCCTGCAGCCCCAGGCAAACGTGAAACCATTTAGTCCCAAAATCACTCCTAAATCTGTTTTGTGTGCCTGCTGCAAGCCATCCATTTCTCATACCACAGCAGGTGCTTCTAGGCACCGAACTGTAGGGAAAAGAGACTGGAAGATTTGCTTTTCATGAAGACTTCGGAACTTCCTGGCTGTCTTGCAGAGCTGGGAGTGCAGTGTTTAAAAGCCCTACTGTTTGTTCTAAGGGACACTGGATCCCAGCCCTTTGGAGCACCCAGAGCTGCAGATTTACTTCTTGCTTGGCCCTTCAGGTTCAGATTTGTTTCAGAAGTAACATTTGGGTTATTTCTACTGAACATTGTAAAGTTGTAAATTGGGATTTTATTTTGCAAAAAAAGAGGACAAAATATTTATTCCAGCCTTTCTCATGGAACAGAAGTTCTACTTCTCATAATCTCTACCAACAGAGCCTTTATCCAAAAGGAAGATGTCCTTGAATACCCTCCTTTTCTTGATGAGTACAGAGCTTTCCCCATCTGCTATCCGAGCATAGACTCAAGCCCAAGCCTTGTGTCAACATGTTCCCAGCCTCCTTTCGTAATATGGAAATGACAGCGGTTCCCACATGTGAAGCTGAAATCAAATGAATAAATGAATGTCAACAGACTGTGGGTAGAGGCACAGAGGTTGCATAACAGAATAACTACAAGTGCACAGATGCAGTGAAGCCAAATTGGGTGCTGAGTGGATTGTCAGGGCTTTTTTCTGAGGGATGCACCTCGTCATTTCACAGCACAGCTGTCAGCCGATGGATTCCCAGTGAATTAAGAAACAAAAAATAAAGTCCTCTATTCATCCACTACTCATTTAGAAGGAATATTTTGTGACATCTATAGGTAAACTAGATGGTGAATTATTATGGAATGGTTCCTTTTCCCTGCAGGAGCAAAGTCTGGAGATGCGCTACAAAGTCCTTACTATGTCAGTGTCAAACTTAGTAGTTATCTCAAAGAAATCATTATGAGCTGCACATTTGGTGTTAATGTCATATAAGGGCATGACCGCATGGATGGGGACTGACAGATTTATGCTCTGTGCCCCAGCTCTGAACTGGCCAGATGCAAATTAATTCTGTTCCAGAAGTGGATAGTCACGTTAGCAGAAAGACATCTTACTTGGGAAGCAAGGCCAAACTTTTTGCCACTATAGGGTTTTCTGAATGCCACTGTTTGCACCTATTTGGTCTGCCTTTCAGGTGTTCTTCTTGCCTGTGAGTCCTTTAACCTGAACTAGAATGTTTTCTTTTTATCCTCCTTTCTTAGAGAAGGAGATCTGGTCAAACCAATGCTACTTTAACAAACATGGCAACAGCTTCTTAAAGAAACAGCACACTTCTGTACCTCATTCCTCTCAAACAGAAACGCTACTTCAGCTTCTTTGTGCCACCTCCCCTCCAAAACTGCAGCAGCGGGAAAGCAGTCAATGAGAGTTTTAGGTAATATCACATGCAGCAGGCCTGTTTCATTCCAAACAAATGCGCAAATAACCTCCAGTTTGAGAAAGAGGAATGCACAAACACTTAGAAGCTAATTCCTAAACCCGGGAAGACAAAGGCAGAGTTAAAAGAATCAAAACACCTGAGCAAGCAAAACAGTCTCTTATACTTCACTAAAGCAAACACATAGACGAATCACATTCACTTTTCAACCTGGCAAACCAGCCATAATATATTAGCTGCCACAGCAATGATGATTGTTCTTGTGCTCTCCATCTCAGCCTCATACGCACTCAGCAGATTCATAACTCTTTCAAGCTCTCCCAGGTAAACACATGAGAGCTTGATAGAGAATGTGCAGCCAACACGCTGACCCCCACACCCAGCACAAAGGTGGATTTATCCCACCCATCGCAGGGATGTGGCCCGCAGGTCACGTCCAAAAATGTGGGAAGTTACTTGTACTTTCGGAAGCCTCCTTTCATCTGGGAAGATGGATCCCTTTCACTCACAACTGCCTATAGCATTCTCCAATTCTCCCACCTCCAGACCATAGGACTGTATGGTGCTGGCCACCAGTGTATGCAACAAGGACAGCTGAAGGTGTTGCTGCACACTGACCTCACAAGAGTTTTTGGCAGCACATCTGTCTTCTCCTTCTCTGTGCCAAGTGGCTGAGGAGCTCCTGCTCAGATTCCCTGTCTAACCCTGAGCAATCCTCTTCAAAGGCTGAACTGTTACAAATGATGTGGGAAAAACACCCTCACCCAAAGGAATCAAGCAGTTTAGAAAAGCCATCCCCCCCTTCACCCCTAAGCCACAGAGGACTTACAACCGGCTGTTACCAGAAGAGACTGCTGAGGTGGGGAGAGCACTCCGAAGTTCATAGCTGCTGATTTCAGCTACAGCTAAGGGCTACCCAGGGCCAGAAGTACAGACTGCATTTAGGTAAGGGCGGGTGATCTGATGAATTCAAATCTTGATTGAACAAACCCATTAGATTCACCTGTTTGATGGTGGAAAAAGCCTCTACAGTCTTTGGCTGTGCTTATCATGCAGGAAATCCTGAAGACACACACACTGAGGACTGTGTACATGTGTGCATGCATACATAATAAACTGCAGGTGTCTCATTTCTAAGACAGCAACCAGAACATTCAGAAGTGAGATTCTGCTCAGGGCTGTCACATCTATTGCTGCCAAACACATCTGCCTTTGTACAAAGCACAGCAAATGAGCAACTCGCCTCCAGCCTCTGTGCCAGCCATCTCGTTAGTCCTGATGTGAACCCTGCACTGCAGCTGGGTGGGAGTGCATTGAGCTTTGCATCCTCAGCTTTTGGATAGCCATTGCTTGGCCCTCAGCTGGAAGGTCTCTAAAAGCTCAGCTCGGCCCTGGCTGCTCTGCAGGACCCAGATTTGGAGAGGGGCAGCAGCTTCACCATCAGTTCTTCAAGTATGTGCCACCATCGGCAACAACCTCACCCTACCCTGATTGCCACAGTAAATGCACATACTGCAGGTCTTGATTCAGTGAGTTCTCCCTGACATGGTGTGTGTTTCCCTGCTGTACCCAGGGGCTTAGCAAGAGACCCTGCTCAGCACAGTTGGGCTGATCGGTTACTAAGCCCAAGAGCCCATTTTAACAACATCCTGCAGATCAGAGATGGCTCAAATATTCCTAGTGAAATATTCTGCCTTTCACAAAGGATAATAGCTCTGCAGCCTGTGAAGCACAACACATGCATCCTGCATCCTTTACACAAAAGTATCAGCTGACGTAGTGCCTTCATTTCAACACTCCGCCACAACCAAAGGAGGCACTTGGACTACTCTCCTCTGAAGTTTACTGCCACCTCTTCCTCCCTGTATCCTACTGTTGTCAGGATATTCTAGAATAAATCCACCATTTTGTTCTGGATGATAGGAATAAAAACAAACTAGAGTCTTCACACCAGTTAATTTTAGGTCCTTGAGATTAGAACGCAATGAATGTGGAGAAGGAAATTCTCCAGACAGTGAACACAGCAAGCTCCTGAGCAGCATGTCTGGAGTGAGGTACTGTGATTATCCTTCCTTCTGGAAACACAATCTCAATGTATTAATCACCAGTGAAAGGGCAAAATGGGCAAAATATGAATAAATACCCACCAAAAAACCAGCAGGTACATTCTCACTACCCAAGACCCAAAGTCTGTGTCCTCTCTAAGCTTTTCTTACAATAAGCAAGCATTATAGGGTGCATTTTTTGGGGGAGTTTCTCAGACACATGTTGGAGAATGGCCTCCTTCCCATTGACTTGTCTTTCTGAATAAGAAAAAAGAAAGAAATCTCTCACCTTGTCAGTATTGACCCTGATTTGTTAAAGGTCCATTTCTCAGAGCTAATAGACTGCTGCCGTGTTGGCATACTAAGATTTACGCTTCCTTGTAAAGATGGGTTCATTCCAGAAACCCAAGGAACTTTAGTCTGTCCTTTAAACTCTAATGTAGTATAAAAAAAGCTGTAATCAGGTTCAGGGAGTAACATGCCACAACATGGTGACACAGGGCAGTTTTCTATGAGGGGATGCTGGTAGTAAGACAAACCAGTAAGATGAGATGTCAGAAACCAAGGAGCAGCAAATGACAGTACTGCTACCAGCAGCCAGGCTCATGCTGTCTTTCCCCACCCCTTCAGAACCTTCCCCTTCCCACTGAAACTGGGCTGCCTCAGTCACTGGTGGCAACAGCCTTGAGGCTGACCCTTGGTACTACGATGGTGAATCTTACTGCTGGGAGCCAGACTTCCACAAGGAGTTGTGCTTCTTTAGCACAAAGTGTTTCACCGTCTCTAATGCTAACACACTTGCACAGAGCACCCAGCTCAGGGTTCAGTTCTTTGCCAGCAACAGTCTTTAACTCAAGCAAAAATGCCACTGAATGGTGGCAGGCAGCTCTGTGCTGATGTGTACATGATTTGATATGGAGCAGAGTAGCTGCTCTATTTTCTCTGCAGTAAGGGTAGATGAAGTGTCTGACTGGCAGACTCCTATTTAAACCAGTGCAAATGGCACTGCCCGCACATGTTGTCCCCCCATCTTTGCCCATGTCAATGAGAAAGTCTGCCTGCTTCTCCAGAAGTGTTAAATCCA